AATGATCAACGAGCTTCTAAGACTGAACTTTGGAGGTGTGTCTGCAGATTCTTTGAGGAACTGAAAGTGAGTCTCCTGAAAAGAATAAAAGCTGGAATAAAGGGGAAGAGAGACTCACTGACTCACACAGCTGAGATTAGATTTAGCTGTTGAGGATTCTGGGTAATTTTCTGTAAGATATTCAGTTTTTTTCCTGATGCTGACTGCACATTTTGCACAGTACCATACACCAATCATCCTTGTTTCAGGACCCCCACTAACGCACCACCACCACGTCACTGTTACTGCAGTGCTGAGAATGATCCACCACCCAAATAGGACCTGCTCTGTGGGGGTCCATGGGGGTCCTGACCACTGAAGAACAGGGTAAAAGGGGGCTAACAAAGTATGCAGAGAAACAGATGGACTACAGTCTGTAACTGTAGAACTACAAAGTGCACCTATATAGTAAGTGGAGCTGATAAAATGGACAATGAGCATAGAAACAAGGAGGTGGTCAGAATGTGATGCCTGATCTGTGTATGTTGTAATGTAATCCATTCAGGTCTTTTCCAGTGAATAAACACATTTTATTAATATTTTGTTGGACACTGTTGGCCTTGTTCATCAAAGTTGCATAAAAAATGCCGTAATTTATTGACCTAAAAACTGCTCTGCATCTCCTTTATGAAACATTCGTATGATGTGGAGATTTGAGCAGAAATGATTAATCAGCTTCAGTGCGTGAAATCAAGCACCAGCCTACCAGCACCTCATTTACATATCATTTACATGAAGTATGCCTTAATTCATACAGATATTTCAGCAGGGAGCCAATGAAACGACAGCATTCAGCAGCTCATGAGCCAATGGCTGTGCTGGTAGGCGGAGACTGAGGTGGAGCGGAGAGTGCACTGCTCCCCCTGCTGACCAAACTTTATAGTGTTAAAATTACGACCACTAGAAAGAATAAAATGTGAAATAAACAAAACGTCTTAGTGTTTTTAAGATGGTAGAATGTTATGATTGTGTAAGTGTGATTATTTTTCTGAAATTGTATTTAAACGCTGTATTATTGCAGTGAAAGACACTGGCTGTGTTTTGGATTTTTTTGTGGGCGGAGTCAGTAGTACAAAACAAAAGTCCAGTGTAATGTGAATTGAAAATGGAGTATTTGCTGCATTTGTTTATACTAATGGTTATGTAAAATAAGTATATCCACTTTTGTACTGGATTATGATGAACACGAATCATTAGTATGATTGTTATTTTCTGTTTTTATTCCTATTATTGGTATTATGGATGATATTGATAATAGTTTTGGTTAGTTAACCACAAATCTATAAAACTATTACTCTTAAATTTATATGCGCTCCTATCAGACATGAGTTTGATAAAATTAATTTGTGGGTGAAATTTGCGCTCATTTATGATCATATTTGACCAACTTAAATGAATGGGGGCCATTATGTCTTATTTCAGTTTGTTCTGGTCTATGCAGTCAATCAGCTTAGAAATTTCATATTTATGATGCTCTACACACTTAATGGTTCTTCAAGGGTTCTTTAGTAAAGAAAATGTTTCTATATAGAACCATGAACACTCAAACAACCCTTTGCATTATTAAAGGGTTCTTAGCATAGTGAAGTGGTTCTTCAGCTTGATGGAGAATATGCTGTAGGTGGTTCTATATAGAACCTTTTTGAAAAGTTATGAGGTGAAGCTTGTAACAATAGAAGAACCCTTTTTTGTGCTATATAGAACCCTTGTCAAAAATGTTCTATATAGAACCACATACATTTTAAAAAAAGAGGGTTTTTCAGTTCTTTATGAAAAAAAGGGGTTCTTTTTTAGAACCATGAGCACTCAAAGAAACTTTTGCATGATTAAAGGGTTCAATGCATCGTAAAGCGTTCTTCAAACTGATGGAGAATGTGCTGTAGATGGCTCTATATAGAAGCTTTTTGAAGATGGTTCTATATAGAATCAAAAAAGGTTCTTCAACGTCAAGCTTGTATCAACAGAAGAATCTTTTTTTGCTGCTATATAGAACCATATACAATACATTCTCAATTCTCTATTGTTACAAGCCAAAAAAAAAACGCTTTTTTGGTACTATATAGAACCCTTTTTGCTAAGAGTGTGCAGTATATTTACCACTAGTCTGGAGAACCATTACACCATGCAAAAACACTTTAGACATGCAAATGGTCTTTTGAGTGTTCATGGTTCTGTAAAGAACAATTTTCTTTACTAAAGAACCCTTGAAGAACCATCTTTTTAAACAGTGTATAAGATATATACTGTAATATTTTGGCAGGTTTTAAATTGCATGTCTTGGCTGAGGGGGCGGAGACAGGGTGAAATAGGATGTCGAGAGGTCAGAGAGGTCAAGGAGGTCACCTGAGGACTCTGATACAGGACACTGTGTCCGGAGTCACCTGTGCTGAGTCATATTGCTGAAATACCCCACATACCACCCCCCACAACTCCCACCCCCCCAGCTCAGGCCCTGGGCTATTTCAGCACTGCATCTGCCAACTCCAGCCACTTCCTATTGCTTTGCTTGAAGGGGAATTCCACCCATTTTCCAATATTCCCCCATATTTCAGTGTGTGTGATGTAATCAGAGTGATTCAGAGTGGTTTGGTGTGAAATGGTTCAGATGTCTTTACACTGGTGGTGATAGGAACCAGGGGTCACCATGACTACAACACAAATATAGACATTTTATTTACTATCCAGAACCACCAGTGAACCTACACGAGTCTTCTGAGTTTATATGGAATGTTGATGATGGAAAATAGTGGAAGTTTTCTTTGGGGACTATTTTGCCTCACAGCGCCCTGCATGTATCCCTCCACCGTGAATGGAGTTTAAGTTCTCTAAACTACCATAAAGGCAGTGAATTCATAACCATTTCATGTAGGAACTTTCTGTGAGGGAGCATTTAGAGGTGGACGTCTGGTTCCTATCACCACCACTGTGAACAGTTCTGACTCGATAAGTTTATCTAGAACAGAGAGTTTCACACCAAACCACTGTGAACCACTGTGAACCACTCTGAACCGCTCTGAACCGCTCTGAACCAGTCTCATTACATCTCAACCACTTAATTATGCAGAAATTTAGAAAAAATGGTGCAGTTCCTCTTTAAGCCAATTGGAGCTGTCTAGGAGCTACTGTTTTTCCTAACACTGAAAAAGAAGCTCCATTATTGTTGGATACGGTGTGATTCATTTTGAGCACAATTCTCATCGCTATGGAAACACATTATTATTGATCTGTTTCATCAGATGAACAATAAAAGCCACTGAAGTGTAAAGAATATTTATATTCATTTATCTGCTCGTTAAAAATTGTAGTTTTTCAGCACAAACAAAACAAAATTCTGTGAGTTTTCAGATTTATTAGATTATGATCTTTACATATGAAAATAAATGCACTGACAGCATGTTATTAAAGGAGAAGTGCAGATTAAAGGGCAGAACAGCTGGTTTTTTGTCTCACTGGTGAAGAGTCGAACAGCCGCTGGGCTGTATATGTTGTTTCTTGAACATGTTCTGGTTTTCCTTGTTTTGATGGTGTAGAGAAAATGAGTGACGCCTCCTTAGTCGTCTGAAACTTAAAGGGCCCAAATTCTGGAAAAACAAATAGATTTAATGTAGTATGTAAACATCTAATTGTTTGTTCAGTACATATATGGAAACTAAGCTGCAAAAACAGCCGTTCTGAATTAATTGTTTTTGTGATGTCACAAAAGAAACAGAACGTTTACACATATCTGCCTTTTCAGCTTACAGTATAGCCCCGCCCATTCACGCTGAAGGAGTGTCTAAATCAGGACAGCTTTTTGGAAGGAGACAGATCAGCCAATCAGAACAGAGCTCATTTACATATATCAGCCTTAAAAGCGCAGCTTGTTTAACTGATTAAGTAAAAGAGATGTTTGCAAAATTGTCATGTAAAATGAATTATGACCGTTTTTGATACTTAAAGCTTCATAAACATCAAAATGGACCAAAAAAGAGAAAAGAAGTTTCCCTTCTTTTGCATGTTAGCTGAACTAAACATGCTAACTTGGCTAACAAAAAATGGAAGGTAGTAGCCAATTAATGAATTAGCATAAATGTATTTGCATAGTGTTAAGTGGTGGCTATTCACTTTCACTGATTGTTAGCAACGTTAGCTTATTTGACTGAATTATTTCTTTAAAGGGTTCATAAAATTTCTTCTATTCCATTTGAGGTGCATTTGAAGCATTTTTGCAGTTTGTATATACCAAAAAACATAGTTCAACATATTTACATGGCCGTTTTCTATTCTCCCTTCATCTCTTTATTTCTTTATCTCTCAGAAACAAGCAGGTTGTGCCTTTGAATAACAAATGTGTAACAAAAGAAAACTGATATGTAAAAGAGCTGTGCTCTGATTGGCTGTGACAGTGGTTGTTTATGTTGACAGTGAGCAAACAGTGGCTGTTTATGTTAATAGTGAACAAACAGTGGCCGTTTATGTTAATAGTGAGTGTATGGGTATGCATGTGTAAAAACTGTAATATTTCAAAATGAACTTATTTTTTCTTTTGAAGTAATTAAAGTTCAATAGGCAGAAAATGATTCAAGCTTTTAATCTCTCCTGTCTCACAAAGTTGGTGTGCAAACATTAGAAAGTTGCTAAAATTCATAAAATGAGCATAAATCATTTTTACATACTACATCAAACTCCTTTGCTTCAAGAAAAGGAGTAAAATGCAGTGTTTCTGTGATATCATCCCTTTAAGTGGCCATTCACTGTTGGCTTTTATTGACTTTTCCTTTAAAGGGCTCTTCTGTACTATCCAGATTGCACAGTCAGGTTCACAGACACGTGGCTTTTTCCCTCTTTTCCTACAGGCCAGGAGAGTGAGTTTCAGCAGTGATCTGCCCGTGTGAGAGGGTTTTTACTGGGATTAGTCGTTTGGGTAGTAGAGGAGGAGGGGAGAAAAGTGAGGGAGGGGAGAGCAGAGAAGGAGGAGAGAAGGAGGAGTTTCCACACAAACTGCTCTGAAGCTCAAATCTAACTCCAAACTCCAGCGAGCTGGGGAAGTGGGCGCTTGGACTGGATGTAGCAGCTGAAATTGCAGAGCGCTGGTAAAGAATGGCAGTGAGGCTGTAGAGGGCTTTGCGGGCACCGGAGGAGAGCTGGAGCGCTGAAGGAACGTGTGGGTGATGAAAGCTGGCATGAGGAGCTCAGAGAGGAACACTTGAGCAGATCCAGAGGAACTTATATCTGTTTTTTCTCCAAGCGAGGGATGGACCTGCTGCTGCTGCTGCTGGTGGTGGTGCTGGGGCTGTGTGGCAGTGCCAGGACTGTGTGGCACAACCAGCGGAACGGCCTGGCACACACACAGGCGGGCACGGCACCCAGAGCGGCCAGCAGACACAGGTAGGACACCTTCACTAAAAAAACCTGCCCTGTGTTGTACTGCTTATATGATGCTTATATGCGGTTGATCAGAATGTGCTGGAGGTGCATTTTCACAAATATGTCCACAAAAATGCTCATTTTTGGTGACCTGGTCACTCCAGACCTTCTTCAACATCTCAAAACCACACTTTACCAGCTTTTTTCCACTCTCATTTCATAAGAACTGCTCTGAAACACAGTTTTGACTTGATGACGTTGCTCGGCTGAAAGTTATACTCAAACCCCACACAAAAGAAATATGAATATATTATTTAATATACACCCCGTATAGCAGGAAAACTGGCACAATAATAATGTTTTAAGCTAATTTTATGCATTTTAGCACAATTCTAACATTTGCACATTAACTTTGTGACATAAGAGAAGATTATTTTTTGCATACTGAGCTCAAAAGAAACCAAACAAAAAATTAGGTTAATTTTGAAATGTTATTATTATTTTCACACATTCACACAAACCATTTGTTCACTATCGGCATAAATAACCACTATTTATTTACTGTTATCATAAATAACCACTAGTTGTTCACTGTTAGAATCAGTAACCACAGTTTGTTCACTGTTAGCATAAACAATCACTATTTGTTCACTATTAGCATAAAAATTTCACTGTTTGTTCACTAATAGCATAAACAACCGCTGCTTGTTCACTATTAGCATAAACAATCACTATTTGTTCACTATTAGCATAAATAATCACTATTTGTTTACTATTAGGCAAAACAACTACTACTTGCACACTATTAGAATTAGTAACCACAGTTTATTCACTAACATTAAAAACCACTGTTAGTTCACTTTTAGCACCAATAACTGCTATGTGTTCACTTATCATAAATGATCACATTCACTATTGGCACGATCTATCTTAGCCTTTTCCTTTATTAAGTAAATAGAGGCTTTGAGGGACAGTAATGCCCCTCGTACAGTGCTGGGGTCTCTGGTACCCTGAACACTGAGTAAATAACAGCAGTCTAAGTCTGAGGGTTAATCTAAACCAGCCTCTCAGAGCTGCTCGCCTTCCACACTTTCCCTGTAAAAGAGTTTATCTGCCTGAGGGAAAACTTTAAAAAGCTAAACACACATTTAAATATGCTGCAGACGACTACATGAAAGACTGGAATAAACATGGGGCTCCTTTGAATCCCACTGAGCCGCTGCAGGAGGCATATTACAGCCCCCCCAACACACAATTAGCACTTAATGAATTAAAGGCTGAGTTAGAGGGATTACGGTACAGTAGCACGGTGTGACACTGGGTTGTGCTAAAAGTGAACTAAATAGTGATTATTTATGCTAAAAGTAAACAAAAGGTGGTAATTTGTGTTAATAGTGAACAGATAGTGGTCATTTATGCTAATAAATAGTCAACACTAGTATGTACATTAACAGTGGACAAAGATTTACGCTAGTAGTGAACAAACAGTGGCTATTTGTACTGATCGTGAACAAAAGTGAATAGTGAACAATTTGTGCTGGTAATGAACAAATTGTGGTTATTTCTGCTAAAGGTGAAAATGTGTTAATTTGCGCTAATAGTCAACAAACTGTGGTTATTTGTGCTAATAGTGAATAGTTAGTGGTTATTTACACTGATAGTGAACAGACAGTGGTCAATTAAGCTTTATTAGCATGGCCAAAGCATCATCAAATTACAAAACCAAACATTTAGAATTCCATGAAGTTAAAATTACACAAAGATTGGAGTTAATAACAAACATAAGCAAAAATGGCAATTATGAGACTTGATATATCTTGTGTTGTGGGTCACTCACTGTCCCCCTCTCTCTCTCTCTCTCTCTCTCTCTCCTCGCCCTGCCGTGACGCGAGTATTGGGGTTTCCCCATCATCCACACTGACGCAATGCTAATGCTTTCCAAAGGGCGGATGCAGGCCAGTTGACGTTGCACACAGTTCAGAGGAGAAAAACAGAGGATTCAGATAAACACCGACACCTGAACTACAGCGCTTTACATCATTAACACAAACACAGGAGACCTTCAGCAAAAAATGAAATCCCCCATTCGAAATGTAGTCGATCGGTTTGGTGTCTGAAGTAGAGGTCTGTTTTTTCTGTCCCGCTCCCACATGATTTTATCCCACTCCCGCCCACTCCCACAGAAAAACGGAATCATTAGTCCCGCTCACACATTATTCTCTGCTGAAATAACAGGTCAGTCGTGGTCATCAGGCTCACTGTGAGTAAAACGAAACGCTGTTTATTCACCATTTAAACACAGAGCAGGAATTAAACCACAGAGGCGTTATTTTTGGTGTTTTGCTGGGCAGCTGTGGCCGTCGGACTGAAGGCTCCACCGTCTCTGTGAGATACGAGAATCTGCGTGTTGTTCACGTGATCGGCTGCTTCGCAGCTCTTTAGAATGACTTAAATTCATTTTAACTGTTTTACTGTCATCATTTTATATTGTTTATATATGACGTTCTACTTTATTTAGGTTTTTCATTAATTTGCGGGATTTCTCGGGACATTGTGGCGGTTCTTTCTACACTGCAAAAAAATGTAATCTTGGCAAGTTAAATGATCTTAAATCCAGTCAATATATCTAATATTCTTCAGGTTGAGATTGCTGTGTTCAGTGTCTCTAACAGACTTGATTATGTGGTTTTTAACACTGTACATGTCATAAAACTGACTAGTGTGATGCTAATTTGAGGGGTAAACATTTCTATTATGTTTTAGCTACATTAGCCTTGTAGCTCCAGTGTTTAAAGCAATCCTCAGACACCAAGTGTGTCTTGACAGACTATCACTTTAAGAGGCCTGCTTTGATGGACAGTAGTGTTTGTTTGAACACTAACATGTCATGGAATGAAGCCGCCTGTTTGGATAAGATGTTAATCTGCTGTTGTGTTTATATGATTTGTTATTACAGATGCGTAAAGTAGACAATGCTCTGTTTATGTATGTTTTGGTGAGATATGAGTAGTAAAAATCTAAATATAAACGTGTTTCTTGAAGTCATGCGTTCATAATATCCTCCTCTGTGTATAGATTGGCCGTTTTCATATTTAGGAGCGGATAGATTACGCTTCACTCAAATCCATCAAATTTTATTCCATTTCATCCAGCTGTGTTTCAGAGAAAAGCCACAAACCAAAATCACATTGCAGCAGGAATGTGTGCGTCACAAATATGTGCAAAAAAATGAACTGTACAGAAAGTAGAGTGGTTGCCAAATATGCAGCTTTTTGACCCTTTTCCTCGCAGCTGTACGCATCCCACATTCAGATGAACACACACAGATGTCAGAGGCGGGGCAGACTTAACATCTCCAGAGTTCATGCTTATCTACAAACTCCAGGATTCTGGGGAAACGCAGCGACACAAACACACGCTAAAGTGAAGTTTGTAACTAATCGGTGCAAAATTGAGTCATTTATTTTTGCACAATAGTGGCTCAGAGGATTTACTTTGGTGGAAACTACAGATTAGTGGCAGAAGATGATGTTTGACTGGTATTGGTCATTGTGGCTCTGCTCGATTAGCTGGTCACGTGTGTGAGTTGGATTTGAAACATCCAGGATGTTTAATTAAGACTTTTGTTTGTGGATTTTTCTATTATATTTGGTCTGTGTTGGAGCCTGTAAGGCCAGAACTGACCAGGAGTGAGGACACCTGTTGGTTACTGAAGGAACTGCAAGTTTGTCTATACAAATGATATCCATTCATTTACAGAAGCGTCTGTTTTATTGACAAGCTGTTTATGAACAACTTGAATAAAAATGCAGACGGCTTGAAATTTCATCTTATTTTTTTTCTTTTTTTTAGCAAATTATGTCAAATTTCTTTTACATATTTATATTACAACAGAAACACTTTTTGTAAATCTTGAGAATTTGTAGAATTTTTCACACATAATAAAGTCAGACAGGCCTGCAGGATTGTATGTGTTTGTGTTAAAGCGACTGTGTCAAACGCAATAAGACAGTTTACAACTAATACTGAACCTGAAACAGTGAAGAACTGAATAGAACTCACCACAAACTCTTACACTCAGCTGGATTGGACTGGAGGAGTGAAAAAGGTAGATGAGACGGAGTTTAGTGTACATAGTTTGAGGAAACTTCTTTGTTTTTGACTTAAAACTGCTTTTATATATCATTACTGTAACTAATCCTAACTATGGAGAAGATTAAAAAACAGGATGTTTTTTCAAAATTCCCCCACAATTCAGTGTGAGGTGTAATCAGAGTGATTCAGAGTGGTTTGGTGTGAAATGGTTCAGATGTCTTTACAGTGGTGCTGATAGGAACCAGGGGTCGCCATGACTACAACACAGATATAGACATTTTATTTACTATCCAGAACCACCAGTGAACCTACACGAGTCTTCTGAGTTTATATGGAATGTTGATGATGGAAAATAGTGGAAAATCTCAAAAAATAAGTTTTCTTTGGGGACTATTTTGCCTCACAGCGCCCTGCATGTATCCCTCCACCATGAATGGAGTTTAAGGCCAAAATTTTCTCAAATATGTGAGAGTATGGAGGCTGGGTGAGTGGGTGTGGTTATTCAGTGAGAGTATAGAGGCTGGGTGAGTGGGTGTGGTTATTCAGTGAGAGTATAGAGGCTGGGTGAGTGGGTGTGGTTATTCAGTGAGAGTATGGAGGCTGGGTGAGTGGGTGTGGTTATTCAGTGAGAGTATAGAGGCTGGGTGAGTGGGTGTGGTTATTCAGTGAGAGTATAGAGGCTGGGTGAATGGGCGTGGTTATTCAGTGAGTATGGAGGCTGGGTGAGTGGGCGTGGTTATTCAGTGAGTATGGAGGCTGGGTGAGTGGGCGTGGTTATTCAGTCAGAGTGCGGAGGCTGTGTGAGTGGGCGTGGTCAGTGAGAGTATGGAGGCTGGGTGAGTGGGCGTGGTTATTCAGTGAGAGTATGGAGGCTGGATAAGTGGGCGTGGTTATTCAGTGAGTGTATGAAGGCTAGCTGAGTGGGC